CATTGCCATGTCACATGGATACCCTTAACTTGTGTGTCACAGTGAATCTGAGGTATTTATAATGAAGGCCCGACTTGGGCTGATTTTATCCAGGCCAGATTCCCTGGCAACTCCAGTTGGCACTAAAGACCTAGTCTTTTACTTCTTAGGACTTCCTGGTGAGCTACTCCTAATTATACCTCCCTTATAACCCAAGAGATTCTCAACCTCCTCAACTTCCTTCTTTTCCAATACTCAGTAAAAAGCAAAACTACAAGACAATAATGCTACTTCTACTTCAGCTGGACTACTTTTTCTCCATGTAGCCACAGAGACTTAGAATCACACAGATTTAGAACAATGTTGAAGGATGTTACCAGAGAAGTCCAGACAGAAGGGTGGCAGCCATATTAACAGCCATCACAGTCCTTGATGGGACCGTGCAAACAAGCCTCACACCGCACTTGCCCTCAGGGAAACCACCATTTGGCTTACTGTGTGGGTCTGTTTTGATACAACACAGGATCACTTACTTTTTGGACAGATAGTTCCCATCTCTTTCCTTGCTTTCCCCTCTTTCTTCTTTAAAAAGTTTCTGAACTATTTTTTTGTATTTTTTACTGATTATGTTATTGCGTTGTCCCCCTTTTCCCTTTGTCCCTCTTCCTCCCGTACCCCTCTTCCTTCCAGCAACCAACCCTGCCCTTAGTTCATGTCCATGGGTGGTGCATATAATCTATGTGGCTTCTACATTTCCTATACCATTCTTAATATTCCCATCTATTTTGTATCTACTAATTATACTTCTTAATCCCTGCACCTTTTCCCCATTCTCCACCTTCCCCATCACAACTGAAACCCCTCCAATTGGTCTCCATACTCATGATTCTATTCCTGTTCTAGTTGTTTCCTTAGTTTTCTTGTTTTTTTTTTTTCTATTTAGTTGTTGATAGTTGTGAATTTGTTGCCATTATTAATGTTCATAGTTTTGATCTTCTTTTTCTTAAATAAGTCCCTTTAACATTTCATGTAATAATGGCTTGGTGATGGTAAACTCCTTCAGCTTTACCTTGCCTGGAAAGCACTTTATCTGCCCTTCAATTCTAAATGATAGTTTTGCTGGGTAGAGTAATCCAGGTTGTAGGTCCTTGCTTTTTATCAATTTGAGTATGTCTAAACAGTTCCTTCTTGTTTGCAAAGTTTCTTTTGAAAAGTCATCTGATAGTCTTATGGGAACTCCTTTGTAGGTAACTCTCTGCTTTTCTCTTGCTGTTTTTAAGATTCTCCCTTTATCTTTTACCTGTGGCATTTTAATTATGATGTATATTGGTGTGGTCCTCTTGGGTCCAACTTGTTTGCAACTCTCTGTGCTTCCTGGACTTGTATGTCTATTTCCTTTGCCAAATAAAGGAAGTTTTCTTTCATTATTTTTTCAAATAAGTTTTCAATTTCTTGCTTTTCCTTTTCTTCTGGCATCCCTACAATTCAGATGTTGGCACTTTTGGAGCTGTCTCAGAGTCTTCTTAGTCCCTCCTCTTTTTTTTGAATTATTGTTTCTTTACTGTTTACTGGTTGACTTTTTCCTCCTTATGTTTCACCTTATTGATTTGTATCCCGCTTCCTTCCCTTCACTGTTGGTTCCCTGTAGGTTTTTCTTTACTTCACTTAGTGTAACTTTCATTTTTTCCTTTATGTCGTTGCTGTACTCAGTGAGTTCTTTGAGCATCCTGATCACCAATGTTTGAACTCTGCATCTGATAGGTTGTCTATCTCTGATTCATTTAATTCTTTTTCTGGGGTTTTGTTCTGTTCTTTTGTTTGGGCCATATTTCTTTGTCTCCTCAATTTGGCAATCTCTCTGTGTTTGTTTCTGTGATTTAGGTAGAGCTTTTGAGTCCCTGTAAAAGGTACCTGCAAATTGTGTGGTGCAGAGCTTCAGGTAATCACCAGGGTGAGGCAACCTACTTCACCACTTTGTGGCTCTGTATGAGGGAAGGGCACAGAGAGGGGACTGTGCTGATGCCTGGCTTCTGGGGGTTTGCCTAGCACTCACTCTGTTTCCAATCCTTCACCCACTCTGCATATGCAACCAGCACCCTTTCAGCTATTGCTCTGGTGTTGAATCCCAGAGCGGGTAGGTTTGCATATTTTTTAAGACCATGTGGGCCCTTCAAGCAAAGTTTCCTGAAAATCTGGTAGTTTCTTCTGCCACCTCAACTCCCACTGGTTTTTACAGCCAGAAGTTATGGAGATTTATCATTCCAGCACTGGATTCCTGGGCTGTGCAGTCTGGCCCAGGGCTGGGATCACTCGCTCCCAAGGCATCCCTTCTGATTTTTATCCACCACACATGAATGTGGGACCACCCCTTCCCATTCTGCCACTGCTGCCTCTTTGCACCACACTGTGTCTCCTCGCCTCTCCACCCTGTCTCCTTGTTTCCGTCCCTCCTACCCATCTGGATGAATGTGGTTTCTTTAAATCCTTGTGGTCAGACTACCGTACAGCTCGATTTTATGACAGTTCTAGATGTTATTTGTTTTGCGATTTAGTTGCAATTCTTTTTTGTTGTTGTGTGAGGAGGTGAAGTGTGTCTACCTACGCCTCCATTTTGACTGGAAGTCAGTTTCTAAACTTTTTAATGTCAAACCCATTTAGAGATTGATTCAAATACCAGGAGCATCCAAAGAATGTTTAAAGATTTCATTCATCAAGTGGCTTTGAGTAAAGAGCCTATGTTCCGGTAGGACACGCCCCAGGCTGTGGGTGGAAGCTACAGCCAGGCCAGGACCAGGGCTCATCAGCAAGCAGTGGAGTGCTTTGGGAGGTGGTGCGGGGGTGAGATACAGGCCTGAGGGTTCTCCAGGGTAAGAAATGTATGAAGGAGAAATGAATAGCAATAGAAAAGGTGTGGGTGCTGCTGATTATAGTAGAAGCAGACTTCTCTTTCTCTTAGCTAAACATTTCTTACTCTGAAGCTGACCCTGCTGACACTCTGTCACCTGATAATTAACATACTGCGCAAGGGGAGCTTTTGTTTAGAGACTTTTCCTCTAGGAAAGTTGTAGGGAGGGTTGGAGAAAAGGGGACATTTGGGGCAGGGATGAACCTACAGAAGGGAGAGCTATGGAAAGCAAAGAAATGTACATCTTCGTACAGTGTTTGATGATCAAATAAAACCATGGCCAGAGCCTATTCCAATTTGTCTTTGTTATATCAGAGGACAATAAGCTTCTATTGTATGAGAGAAGGAAAAAAAAAGAAAGAAAGAAAGAAACCCACTCCAAATGTTCCAAAGCTTATCAATGAATATGTTCCTTTAGTTCAACCTGAGTTGGTGGCCACCAAGTATCCTTGAGAAAACTCTTAACTGTACAGTATATAGCAATACTGGCAATTTTAATACCATCACTAATCATCTGGAGTACTATGACATCCTTTCACTGTAATATTTGTGTATTTAGTGGAAACTTTTGAAAAGTCATTTCACTAGCCAACAAAAGTTATTTCATAGTTATGATGTAATTGTGAGGTAGTATTTCAGGGCTGTCAAGATCAAAGACTTGAAATATGGCTTATTAAAAAAAGTTCAGGAGTGACCCCTTGAAACAACCTTTTAAAGAAACCAACCAATGGCATTTCATCTTCTGTTTTCCTTTCATTTTTGGAATTAGAGTGATACAAGAGATATAGTCTCCAGAGGCACATGAATCAAAATTAAAGAGTGGGAATAAATAATTTTAGATGAAACTTTTCACTCTGATTTAAACAGTGAGAAAGATATATACTCAATGTATTGGCCATAAAAATAGGAAAAGTGTATTTAAATTGTGAATTGGGCTTTATAGCAAATCCTGAAAATGGATTTCATGAAACTACTTTATGGCTATTGTGTTGATTGAAGAAAAAAAATTTTTTTGAGTAGGGGTATTCATCTAGTTTATATACTTGGGCCTTATAAACCAAAACTAGAGATTATCTTTAAAAATGAAGATCCTTTTTGTACAATAAAATCCAAATTGACATATTAGTTTTTTTTATACTTTTGCTGGCTAATCACTGTAAGCTCAGCTATTGATCTGGTCTTAATGGAGTGATTTCTGGTGAATTCAGAAAGTAAATTACTTTCTCTGCTTGTCTAAGGTGATGAGAAAAGGAGACACAAAGTTGTAATTCTCCATTGTAACACTTACTGACTTCCCCAAGCTAAGAAAAGGAAAAACAGAAACACAAATACTTATAAAGCATTTTTAGATGGTGATGATTTTTTTTTTTTAATAATGGTCTGCCAACCCTTTAAAAGAAAAATAAGGAAAAAGTGTTGGTGATAACTCTCCCTCCCTCTGCTACCTCAGAATAGAACTCCAACCCAACATCTTTTATTTGAACTTCTTGACAGATTAGGCAGAGAACACCTTAATTTTTTTCTTTGAAGAAGAAGACTGATCCTCACAGGTGGACTAATCAATGGAAGATCACATTTAAGTTAAAAAAATTCAATCTTTTTTTTTCTCCAGGAAGATAGATCATTTGCTTTTGCCCCTACTTGAAACTTAGATATGCTACAGCCTAGAAGGGATGTTCTCCTAAAGTTTCCCAATATTAGTTTTCTCGAAAAGGCTATTTGGCTTCCTCATAAGGCACAGATCTGTGAATAACAGCAGTCATAGCAATAGTAATAGTAACATATAATCACCACGATAATAGTAGCTACCATATGACAGGGTCTTCTTCTATATGTCTGACATCAAATTTGGCAATCTGCACATGTTAGTTTGTTAATCTCCATAGCACTCTTTTCCTTCCTTCCTTTCTTTTTTTTTTTTTTTAAGTTGACACACAGATTTATTCAAATAGGCAATGTGTCATCAGAAAAAACATTCCCAACAGCTTCTACTTCTGTTTACAGTTTCTCTTCAAGCAGGGAAGTCATTCTTAATTACGCTGAGCTAAATTCTTCCACATTGTTAACTTGCATTTCACCTTCTGGCATGTTCCTTTTCCCCATCTGAGGGACCGTTAAAAATATAGACTGCTTCACAACTTCGCGTGTCATCCTTCCACAGGGGCCACGGCAATCTTCTCCGTATCCTTCCGATTTTAGCATATGTGCTGCTGAAGTGAGTGCTGCTTCACAGTACTCTTTGAGAGAAAGCTTTATTATCACGATTTAACAAACGAGAAAAGTAAGCTCAGAGATGTTAAGTAGCTTAATATCTCATAATAAAGTAGTAATACAACTGCAGTTTGAATCCATGTCTGATTACAAATACACTTTTTTTCCACACTCTAGCCAATTGTTGTGGCTATTTCTCTTTGCTGGGGGAGTCAGACAACTGGGGAGAGGGCATCTGGGATTCTTTCAGGAAGAATGAGGAATAAACGACTAGTGCTGTCCTGGACATTCCTTCACTAACCTTTGAAGACCAGCCACATTCACTGTTGTATTCCCGTTGGCGGGCACATAGGAGATCAAGAAATGTGAAGTAAATGGAGATAACAGATGTTTATTGAATTTGTTCTGAGTTGAATTTTAGAACCACTGCCACCCCAAGAGTCAGGGCTCCACAATTTCTACACAGGAAGAGTTTAAGGAATGGCAATCAGGTTGCAAGGGGGCCTAGGTGGACTGTGTCAGAGCATAACAAGGGACGTGTGGCTTTGGTAACAGTGGTAATAAATGGTAATGGTGGTAACTTGGGCGCACACAAGTCCTCGTACGATTGCTCATTATGGAGACCGAGTACCCATTCCAGTCCAGTGATGCGTCACGGGTCTCATGGCTAGTGAAGAAACTACCACCGAACCACGGACATCGCTGGGAAGCTGTGGCGGGCAGGAGGGGCCGGCCCAGCGCCTTCCCCCCTCAGTCAGCTCTGGGCTGCCAGCGGTGCTGCAGCTGTGCTGCTCAGGGTGTTTTCCGCAACGCGATGACAGTGTGATGGAAGAGCCATTGCCTCACAGCCGTGCGGCCCTGCCAAGCCCCGGGAGCACTCACGCTCACATTTGCCTCTGTGGAGAACCCACCCAGCTTGGTGGGGCCCACAAATGGAGGGGAGGGCGAGGATCCTTCCCTAATGTAACATCTTAGCACATTAATCAAAAGCAAAATAAAAGCAAATTTCCTCCGAATGTAAACCCACGTTGATGACATAGCTCTTTTTAGAACAGGGCTGTGGCAGGGTCCAGCTGGACTTGTGGCTCTGTGTCCACGGATGTAACCAAGAAGAGTGCAGAGGATGTAGGAGATAAAGTTTCTCTGTCAGGGAAGAGATTCGAAACTGGCTTCAAAAGAAAGAGAGGGACGTTATTGTTGAGGCTTGGGTCTCAGAGGAAGATGTCTTTCCAGCTGAAACGCTTAACAAACCAAACCCACAGAATTGGATATTCTAGACTCTTTGGTTGAAAGCACCTGGGGGCCCGGGTCTTTCTGATCTCTCTTCTCCAGACTGCAGCACTTTTAATATGTCTCTGCTGGGTTAGGCCTGGATTAACGGAGGCCTCCTGCCATTCTCTGGAGGTTTCTCCTCTGCAATCTGACCTCCCTTGCCAGTTCCTAAGCATTTCCAGTCTAGAGGCCATTTTTTCTTCTGCCCAGCCTCTGGCTGAGTTATGGAAGGTGAAAGGGAGTTGTGAAAGGGAATGTATTTGTGGGAGCTAAACCTCCCACCCCCGCCCCGCATTTTAAGTTCTTCTAGCTGCGCTAATAATCAAATTAACAGAGACAGATTTATTTACTTATTCAATTGTAAAATGGAATTTCTTGGGATGACATTGGTTCACCAAACCATACAGCTTTTAAGTAACTGGAGAAAATGTGCAGAGTTGGTTATACGAATATACGAATCGCCTTATAATACTAAGACACGAAACACGTGAGATAGTTGAGGTTTTTATGCCGTCATGGACAAAGGAGAAAGGGAGGGTGGGGCAGGGGTCTGAGATTTCAAAGGACTCAGGCAGTTTCCAGGTAGCTTAGGAAGAGCCAAACACAGGTGGCGGACAGGTTCTGGCCCGGCAACCCAGAAACGACAGAACACGGCGGAGCTGGGTAACATGCCCCTGCTCAGAGCCTGTCGGGTTCCCTGCTTGGGGCCGATCTTCCCATGCGAACCGCCTAGACAGGAAACGGGGAGAGTCCAATGTTTTTCTCGAGTCTTTTGTTTCTTAATAACTAGCTTAAAAATCAATATCCCCAAAGGGAGTTTTAGGGTGGCAAAACTTTGGTTCCCTTCATGCATGACAAATATCAGTTCCCTTGAAGACTCCTATACCCTTCTCGGAGCCTAGCATTGTGACAGCCTGAACCAGCAACTCAACAAAGACCCGCTGGATAAATAAAATGATTCACTGGAAGGGCTTTCTTGTCACTTTGAACACCAAAATCCTGTTTCACTGCATTGGCCTTGTTTCTGGAGGCAAGGAAAGCTGAGGAGAGAGTTTGATGAGAAATGTCCAAGAAAGCAGAGTGTTAACTGTAATCTTTCCTTGAGAAAAAGAGGACACAGAGCAGGAAACTTTTCTACCTTTTCCTTCGCTCCTGGGTAGCTTGGTTATCATGTTTCTAGAGAGAAAAAAAAAAAGATTTTCCCAGAGCAGAGAGTTCAGTAAAACCTGGGCCTCCAGGTGCTTTTAACCAAAGAGTCTATGGAACTTTTGACCCTTCAACTACTACAACAACAACAAAAAGGGTTTTGTGCCTTCTCACTTATGAAGTATATCAAAGTGGGATAAACATAAAATGGATTTAAGCCCATAAATTTAACAATCACACTTGCTTGCTCTTAGAAACCTCTAGGAATTTATGTCCAAGTTACTATTTTATCTGTAACTATAACTTTGTTTTCACTGGAAAGGGAAGTTTCTCCAGCAGAGGGTAATTTAATTTTGTCAGTAACCAGACACATTCTGTTTAGATTCGGAATCCTTTTAAAATAGGAGCTTTCTATCAATCACCAGCTCCAAGCATGTTTGGATTATGGGCTCTTCCAGAAAGGGGCCGTCTGCCTATTGATGACGTGGTGACCGAAGGGGACAACTTGCCTTCTCAGTGGCAGCTTCCTAGAGAGAAATATTATCAATATCCATGTGTTAATGAGCAGGAAATGGCCTGGCCACAGTTCTCTTGGCCACGTGGACTCTCCTTGCCCCCACCCGGCCCACGGCTGCCTTCTCAGTCAGGGCCCGGACACGCTGAAGGGAGAGAAGAATTCCGGCAACAGTGAAAACAACTTTCCACTCCATCACAAGAAGCCAAACACAGAAACCATATTCAAAGAGTTCTTTGTCCACAAGATAACGTTTGAATCGGAAACTTGTTCAGCCAGATTCTCTTGTTACAATTTACAGCTTCATCAGGTGGGGGCTGGGACAGGCACAATCCATCCTTTAAATAATGGGACGATTCCCACAGGAAGGTCGGCAACTCCCTAGGTGTATTTTAAAAACCGTCATCTGCCCGAACCTCAGCTTCCAGCATTGAATAAATGCGTCTGAGTGCTGGAGGGATTCGTGCACAAATAATCACACATGAGAGCATGTGACTTTCAAGTTAGAGAGGAAAATGTAGCCAAGAGCAATCATATTTAGGATACCTTCCCTCCCAGGGATCAAAGGTGGGAGCAGAGATGGAAGGGATGGAGAGAAGGGGAAGGATGGACAGACGTCTCCCCGCAGCACATTCCTGGGGGAACAATCGCCTTTGTTCAAAGCAGGCTGAGAGAGCGGCTTGGGAAGCTCCGGATCTGGGCTCGGGGCAGGTTAGGGCCTGTATGTACGCGTGAGGTCTCCTGGTGACCAAGAGCCCAGGTGGGTGGGCCAGGAATGCTGATACTAGGGCAAGACTGAAGGGGTGTTTTGGCCCATTACCTGTCCACCTCCACCCAGAGTTCCGACTGCTTCAGCTTCTGAAGCCCCCGCCAGCATTCCTGGTGGGGGTGGAGGAAAGTGCAGATTTCTTGCCTCCCTGGGGAGAGCCAGGTTGGCTACTGGGGACTGGCTGGGATTCCTACTGCCCAGCGTGGGGTTCAGGTTCTGGCTGGGCTGCAGGCACCCGGGGAGTCCAAATAAAACAAATCAAATTCCTGGGCTCCCTAATATCTTTTGAATCTCCATGGGGATTAGGCTTGGGAATTTGCATTTTCCAAAACTTCCCAGTTATTTTGCATGCTACTGGTTAGGTACCTTCTAGGGTGACTCCAGTCTTTGTTTTGTTTAAAACCTGCTAATGTGTATGAAACAGATGGGAATCCCAAATCCAAAAACTGGCCAAACTTTTAAGGGGCCTGAGTGGACCCCAGGGCAGGCCCCTCCAGCTAACACCCTTCCCAAAACGGGCTTAGGAAGACCCATTCACCAGGAACCCTTCAGACTTCTGGTCTCCCAGAACAGGGACTTACAGTGTCAGCAGACTGATGTTTTCAAGACCTGATGTTCTGGAAGAGTCAGGCACGGCTGATGGCAGGTCCAGGCAGCCACTGGGAGGCAGGGGAGAATGGAACTCAGAAACCACTAACGTGCTCCTCAGTCAAGGATGTTTGGTGCAGCAGGGCCCCTCTTGCCTCCATCTCATCCCTGGTACTCCTCCTGGCTGAGCTCTTTCTTGTTTAAGTGCTATCTCATGTACTAAAAGTGGATCTTTTGACTTACGAATGTTCTTGCAAAATACATATTGTCTTGTTCATTGATTCATTCAACAAGTATTCATTTAGTAACTACTCTGTGACAGTCATTTGGGGATGCATTAGCAAAGAAACCATCAGAGATCACTGCCCTTGAGGAATGTATATGCTAATAGGGGAGGAAAGACAATACTTTATAAGCATAAAAATAAGAGAACTATCAGTATGGTAGAAGGTGGTAAGTGCCAAGGGAAACATAATCCAGAGAAAGGGAATCAGAAGTGCTGACTGGAAGGGACTGGGCAAGTTGCAGTGTTAAATTTTCCCAGCGTCTATTCTTTATGTATATTAATGATATGGATACATATCTCCTTTGTCTTTTGGGTTTGTTTGTTTGGTTGGTTTTTGCTGAGCACCGAGTTTTTGAGTGCTGCATAGCATTCCATGGTGTGTGTTTGCCACTCTTATTCGTTCTCACAGCCTGGACACTCAGGGTGCTTCCGATTTC